GTTGTTTTTCGATGAAGTTCTAATGTCATGCGGTTTCAAAAGAATCAATGATAAAGAGAAAAACTGATGTTTAGGCATAGGCTTACTTCTAGAAGACGAACGACAAGAGGGTTAACTCCAGCAAGCATTTCTCTAGCAAATTCATCATCGGTTCTCCATGCGGACATATCTTCTGCTCAAAGTTGGTAACATATCCAAGTAATTATAAGGGGGAAAATGAAATATCTACACGCTAATATACAATATTTTCTTATATTTTCTTAAAAAAAAGCCATTGTTAATACATATATAAGCTACCTTTAATCACTTGGGGCAGTGGATATCTGAATAGTCCTTCACCGTCAACAGGTAATGCTTCCTTCAGCAACTCCAAGGGGATATTCTTCATAATGTCATCAAATTGAGGGCCCTTAGGAAGCTTGATTCCTCCCTCATAGATTTTCATTACATCTTCAAACGAATCAAACTCATTAGGAGTGCTGTCACACAGAGCTTCTAGCTCAGGTCTGATGAACTGAGCAATTGATTTCAATCCATATGCAAGAAAATCTGACATCTTCAAGTGGCCAAACCGCTCATCTCTTGGAACATAAACGTTTAAGCGCGTTAAAAGTGGCAACCTAGACTCACTGTTAGGATCTGAATATGTGAAAACGAAGCAATATAAGAAACGTAATAACAAGACACTTCCTGTATATATCATGAATTAATTAGAGATAACTTGCAATGTCCAACCTGATTTTGTTGGAGGACGGCTTGTTCTTCCCCTCCGCGGATAAGGATACTCAGCAGACCCTCCAAGAACAGGACGGGCATAATCCGGACCCTTATCCGGATCCCCCAGATCATTGTAGTAAGCATAGTCATATACACGGTCCCATTCTTGGAGTTCTCCTTTCCCATCTCCTCTCAAGACCAAGAACTCTTCATCTCTATACTTCCGTAAGGGTATTGGCATCTCATGTGGAAGGTAAGTCTGAATGAGAAGGAACATGAACATGTATAAATCATTCAACAACAGAATTGAGAATTCACTCTTCTGATTACTTAATTACTCAAAAAGGGTAGACTTCACTCACCTTGTTTGCGAAGAAAACACGATCCTTTTTGTAATGTTTAGCAGGATAAACCCAAGAGTTGCATAGAAAATGGAACCTGCCATAGCCAGGAACATCTTCTAGCGTGACAGTTCTAAGGTAGAACTCACTGTGATGATTATTTACTATCAAGAATGCTCCAGGTTCCCCAATCTCCTCATCCCAATCAAAAGGAACCTTGAAAGCAGACTCCCCTGCTAATAATGGAGTGATTGTAGTGATCCAGTCTTCCAAATATGCAGGCTTTCCAAGCTTTCCTCTCAACCCATTTGCTACAATTTCAGAATCAGATATCAAAGTTATGAATTTTTCAAACAGACTAAGATACAACCAAAAATTGCAATTTTATGTGGGAGCCAATTTTCTTAGGTGGACCAATGAGAAAGCTAAGTGTTACGCAAGAAAAAGGAATAACTTGATTGGCGGAACATGGCTGTACATATTGGATTAAATAAATCAAAGAAAAAGGTGGGAGGTAATGAAAATCTGTTGACTTCGAAGTTGATTTAGTTATCGCTTGCATCAGTTAGTACTGGACATAGAAAATTAAATGAAGAGCCGCCTGCTGGATCCTTTCGTGGGCCAAGTCTTCAATGTTTTCAAGTAGTAGAAAAATCAAAGATAATCCCACCTAAATCTAGAAGTGTAGAGTTGGTTCGCGTTGGCCTTTTCCCGTGATGACATAAATCGGCAAAAGCTTACATTAGGCTATCCTGGTTAGATTTGAAGGTTTTAACTTTTTATCTTATATTATAATATTTTGAATCCTTCACATTATTAGATTTATAAGTTTTAACTTATCATCTTATACTATGATATTTTTAACCATTCACTTATTAAAATTAAAGAAAATAACCTTTATTTTATAACATTTTATTAATTTTGTTAGTTGACTGTCAATTCTATTAACTAACTGTTAATTGATTGTTAATTTACAAATTTTTTTTAATTAACAAAGTTAACAAAATTAACTTTGTAATATTTCGTTAATTTTGTTAATTAATTATTAATTGATATTAGTTAACAAAAACCTACTTTCAACTAACAAAGTTAACAATCAGTATAAAATGAGAGTTATTTTTTTCGATTTTAATATATGAGGGACTAAAACTTATAAATCTAGTAAAGTAACAAAAATCTTTTCTCAATTAACAGAGTTAACAAAACTAACTTTATAATATTTCGTTAATTTTGTTAATTAATTATTAGTAGATGATTAATTGATAAAAACTTAATTTTAATTAACAGAGTTAATAGTTAACATAAAGTGTGAGTTATTTTCTTTTATTTTAATAAATGAGGAATTAAGACCTATAAATCTAATAAGGTGAAAGTTAAAAATATCATAATATGATATAAAGTGAATAACTAAAACTTTTAAATATGGTAAAGTGAAAGATTAAAAAATAGATTTTTGCCAACGTAAATCCTATGGCAGGGTGGAGTTATGTGATTGTAATTAATATTTAAGGTTTTTTTCATTTATTATTATTTTTTTGGTACATCATTTATTACTATCAATTGAACTGAATTAGGTAAATCTCTCCCTCAAATAGTTATTAGAGCAATGCTAGGAACACTCGCCATTTGCACTCTCCAACCAACACTTCCATTTTCATTGGGCCACGTTATGTTAGTTTGAGAGAGGTAACCATTTCATAGCGAGGCAAGCTTATGTGGCCCAATAAAAAGGCATGTGTTGGCTGGCCCGTAGCACTGCTCTAGTTATTAATATAACAGAAAGTTTTAGTCTGGTTGCGTCGTTTCTCCGACATTAGAACATGTCTTGTGCTACCAGATTACCGAGCAAAATTTTTCCATGAAATCAAAATGGATTTTTTTTTATCTTATATTTTAAAAATACAAATTAAAAATATAATAAATATTTTTTTATAATTAATTTATATTTTTTTTTAATTTATTGT